ATGTTTTTAAGGCAAGGCTCGATAAATTTTTGAACAGTAAAGGAATTAAGGGTTATGGTGAGTCGGCGGGTAAGTGGAGCTGAGTCTCAAAAAGATCAGCCATGATCTTATTAAATGGCGGGACAGGCTTGAGGGGCCAGATGGTCTACTCCTGCTCCTCGTTCTTATGTTCTTATGTAATGTGGAGCCAGAGGGGCACGAGTGCTTTCCTGCTTCTACATCAATATTGCAGGCCACTGCTGTCCGATGTTCCCTCTAACACTGTTTTCTTCTCTGCAGACCTCCAAGGTATATGCAGTGCAGCGACTTCCAAAACCAGAAGTCAGTGCTGGGAACGGCGTTGGAACGCCAATCGACATTTGGAGCAGTAGCCTAGATGGAATGTTGCTACTGATATCATGCTGTTTCTCCCCCCCCCCGCCCTGACCTACAAGCATACATCATATGACTTTGGAGCAGTAATAGGCCATTTGGTCCCTTGAGCCTGTTGAGCTATTTCACAAAATTATGGATGATCATTGTGACTCAACTTACCTCCTTTCTTCTCCCCCCGCCTCCAATAAGAACATAAGAACTAGGAGCAGGAGTAGGCCGTCCGGCCCTTCGAGCCTGCTCCGCCATTCAATAAGATCACGGCTGATCTTTTCGTGGACTCAGATCCACTTACCCGCGTTCTTACCGTAACCCTTAATTCTTTTATTGTTCAAAAAAAATCTACCTTTTCTTTGAAAACATTTACTGAAGTAGCGTCAACTACTTCACTGGGCAAGGAATTCCATAGATTAACAACCCTCTGGGTGAAGAAATTCCTTCTCAATTCAGTCCTAAATCTGCTCCCTCTAATCTTGAGGCTATGCCCCCTTGTCCTAGCTTCATCTGCCAGTGGAAACATCCTCTCTACTTCTATCTTATCTATTCCCTTCATAATTTTATATGTTTCTGTAAGATCCCCCCTCAATCTTTTGAATTCCAACTAATATAATCCCAATCTACTCAGTCTCTCCTCATAAGCCAACCCCCTCAACTCCGGAATCAACCTAGTGAACCTCCTTTGCACCCCCTCCAGTGCCAGTACATCCTTTCTCAAGTAAGGAGTCCGAAACTGCACACAGTACTCCAGGTGTGGCCTCACCAGCACCTTGTACAGCTGCAACATAACCTCTCTGCTTTTTATTTCAATCCCTTTAGCAATGAAGGACAAAATTCCATTTGCCTTCCTAATTACTTGTTGTACCTGCAGACCTACCTTCTGTGATTCATGCACAAGGACACCCAGGTCCCTCTGCATAGCAGCATGCTGCAACTTTTTACCATTCAAGTAATAATCCTTTTTACTATTACTCCTCCCAAAATGTATGACTTCACATTTATTTACATTGTATTCCATCTGCCAGACCTTTGCCCACTCACTCAATGTATCTATGTTCCTCTGCAAAGTTTCACAGTCCTCTGCACACTTTGCTTTGCCACTCATCTTAGTGTCATCTGCAAACTTTGACACCCTACACATGGTTCCCAACTCCAAATCATCTATATAAATTGTAAATAATTGCGGTCCCAACACCGATCCCTGAGGCACACCACTAGTCACTGACTGCCAGCTAGAATTGCACTCATTTATCCCCACTCTTTGCTTCCTGTTAGTCAACCAATCCTCTATCCATGCTAATACTTTACCCTTAATGCCATGCATCTTTATCTTATGCAGTATCCTCTTGTGCGGCACCTTTCATTCCCCTGTTAAAGAAAACATTTTTAAAAATTGGACAGTCCTGCCTCTCCTATTGCCAGGGCAAAAGAATTCCACAGAAAAATGATCCTCCAAGATAAAAACAATTTTCTTCATCTGTCTTTAATGGAAGACCTCTTATTTTAAACTGTGTCCCTGAGTTATAGTCGCCCCAAAGGGAACCATCATCTTCTCATTCACTCCATCCATTCGCCTCAAAATTTATCTTTCTCAGAAAGATCACTTCTCACTCTCCTAAACTACAGTAGATAAGTGTTCAACCTGTCCAGTCCTTCCACGCAATATAAACCTGGGCCCAATTGTATTGACAATTTAGAGGTCGTCCCAGCACTCTTTAAATAATGGACAATTTAGGACAATCCACTGGCCTTTCAGTTAGGCCTCTGGCACCAGGCTTATAACCAGAGAGGATCAGAAGACAACAGTCAGAGACTCCATTAGTGTCTTCCTTATTTCTGTCAGAATTCTGGTATATATTTCATCTGGCCTTACCTGCTTTCCACAATACTAATTTAATATTTCCCCATTTGGTCTTTAGCCCTTTTCTTTCTTTTCCTCTTGTTCTTTATGTGTTGATAAAACATATTTGGGTTTTCTTAATTTCACTTGCCAATAATTTTTCAAGCCCTGTCTTTGTTTATTAATTTCACCCTGTACTTGCATTATTCTATGAGGCTGTCTGTCGGATTAAGTTTCCCATATCGGGCACAAGCTTTTTGTTTTTGCCTTTTCATGTTCTCTATCTTCTCTGACATGCAGGGAGCACTAGGTTTGGGAAACCTCTCCTTTTTTAATTGTTGTTCTGAACCTTCACTCTCTGTTCCTTGACTGTCTCCCACTATATTTAACAGTGATTTATCTTTAAGTAGTTATTTCTAGATCATTTTTTGCCAAATCACATCTTGACCTTTGTAGAAGTGAACTTTCCTTTATGCTGGATTTGAATGGCCTGGTAATAAGTGTGTGTGGATCCATAATATAAAACATACATAGTTTGAACACAGTCAGCACCATTGTTCAACAGGTATAGCTGATGTTGGGAAATTAGAATTTGATGGTGCTGCAATGAACAATTTTCTTTTTAGGTTGGATTTGAGGCATCACAGTTGGCGGAGGGTGAAGGAAGATTTTCATTTACCTAACGAACCTGGAACCACTTGATACTGAGAGTGTAGGCTGGAATTGCACAAGCTTGAGGAGCCCAGGATCAGGGCCAGGTGGGGTCCTGATTCCACGCAGGCCTGCAGCAAAAATGGCTGCCTTCACATGACAGAGGGACTCGATGCTCCTGGTCCAATCAGATTGCCAGCAGTTCTGGAGCTTCAGCAAACCCACTGGCAGAGACAGGGTTGGATCTGCGATGGTGTCTCTGTATAGATGCCCTCAGAGGCATTTGTGAAATTTACAAATGATGAATACCGGAGTTAGTGGACCCTGTAGAGAGCAGTGGAAACACTTCTGGTGGAATAATTCACACTGTATGTGCAACCTTTCATACTCAAAACCTCCTCCTTAGGGATGGAGCTTCTGGTTTTAATGCCCAACTTCCTCTCCCCACTGACCCCTCAACCCACCATGGGGAGTCATAGAATCTCTACAGTGTGGAAGCAGGCCATTTAGCCCATTGAGTCCACACTGACCCTTTGAAAAGCATCCGACCCAGACCCACCACACCACCGCCACCTACTTATTGATGTAATCCTGCATTTCCCATGGCCAATTCACCTAACCTGAACATCTTTGGACTATGGGAGAAAACCAGGGGACCCACGCAAACACAGGGAGAACGTGCAAACTTCACACAGCTGCCCGAGGGTAGAATCGAACACAGGTCGCTGGTGCTATGAGGTAATAGTGCTAGCTACTGTGCTGCCCCAATTGTGGGAGCTTCCAATAACTATGAGGGGCTCTCTCAAAGCAGCAAGTCCACTCCTGATTAAGTCCTTCGCTATCATAATTAGCCGTCCATCTTTGCAGAATAATCGCTGGCTCTGATTTCAGACTGTCCCTGAACACGTTCACAACAGACGGACAGCATCAGGAAGCTGTCTTGAAGTTTATCCCCCTGCCCCCCCGACCCCCAAAATAAGTCCGCACATGCAGCAGGATAAAATAGAGCTGTGGATGTCCACAGTGTGAACATGCTCCATTTAACAACAAATAATATTTGTGTAGTTTCCCCCTCGCACGCTGAAAGCAATCATAGACCACTTACAGAACAGGAGGTTAAGAGGTGAGATAACAAGGTGTAGAGCTGGTGAACACAGCAAGCCAAGCAGCATCATAGGAGCAGGAAGGCTGACGTTTCGGGCCTAGACCCTTCATCAGAAGAGGTGGCCCCAGGTTCAGAAAAAGTCAGAGATGGTTGGAAACGGATTTATGTCAGGATTTTGAATGCAAAGGGAGTTAGGAAGAGGATAGCCGAGCCCAGGTGTGAGTGAAGCTCAGAAAAATCTGAGAAACACTGTGTCAGAGGAACGGAGGATAATTACAGTCTCATCCAGCCCACAGCATTCGGCTTTCATTTGAATAACTAAGCAATGCATCAAAAAAATAAATGAGGGGGGGCAAAAACTGTTCCTTCCAATATTTCCATCAAATACTGTATTCAAACATGTTGAGGTAGAACTTTAACAGGATTTCTCTCAGTCACCTTTGTCACCATTTCCATATGTCAGAACATCAGAAACTCACTGAGCTACCACACAGCAGCTGTTCTTCCATTGACCTTTCCCAGAATTAGAGATGTTCTCCCCATGTCTGCTTGGGTTTCTGCCGGGTGCTCCGGCTTCCTCCCACAGTCTAAAGATGTGCAAGTTAGGTGGATCGGCCATGCTAAATTGTCCATAATATTCCGGGATCTGTAGGTTAAGTGCGTTAGTTATGGGAAATATAGGATTAGGGGATGAGTCTGGGTTGGATGGTCTTCAGAAGGTCTGTGTGGACTTGTTGGGCTGAGTGGCCTGTTTCCACCCTCTGGGGATTCTATGATTTATGATTCTATGAGAGGGACATCAGGAAAGATACTGCAGATTCTGGGAACAGTGAATAATATTTCCCGAGTTAGTGGGAGCGTCTGCATCTGCTCAATAAGTGAGAGACCAAAAATCAATGCTTCTGATTCTGATTTATTGATAGAACGGCACATCATATATTTTAAATAGTAGTGTTGAAATTGCTATTTTACAAGATTGCCATGTATCACTGTTTTTAAAAAGACAGGCGTCAGCCCTTTTTTTTGATTATCTAGATGCAGCAAGAAGTGCAGTGCAATGATTAATATCCTTTATGGACACTAGAAGATTATAAGGTAGGTCTGAGATGGGAATTAATGGCACTAGAAGGGGTTAATACTGTTTTCTTCTGTCAGGTGCTATATCAGCATGGAATCAAAATGTTGAAGATATAGACAAATGATAGAAAAAAATATATTGTTTATTCACTTTTTTTTGAAACCCACTGCAGTACCATTGTACTGATTCATTTTAGGCCAGATCTCATCCCAGCATTAAAAAAAGCAGCATGTATAGTTTGATAGCTCCAATTATAGAACATTGGATCGAACCAAATGACTCCAAGTTCAGATCTGACATTTGAACCCGTTATCAGTCAAGTTTCATGAGAGTTCTGCAGACAGTTGATTGGTGATTGAAAAATGTATCTCTCTTCAGAGAGATATATGGAAACATTGAAGACAGAAATGAAAGAGCCCTCAATATGTTGAGAAACAAACAAACGGCCAACACCATTGGTGTTTCCTTTGACTGGACTCTAAATCGAAAATGTAGTTGATTCATTGTATCTCTCGAGTTCCTCATGTTTTCTCTTGACCAATTTGCAGTTCCCTCTGGCCACTGCTTCTGAGCAGTTTATTCCATATATTCACCTTCCTTTGTGGTCAACTAATTGCATCTAACTCAACTGAGTTTGAGCATACAATATTGCAGTTTGTAATTATGTCAAAAATATTATTTAATTTTAGCCTATCCATACCCATTAGATGTTTAAACACTTCAATAAGACTACTTGGTACAAGCATTCCCAGTTACCAGAGCCTTTTTTTGCATAGCTGAGGTGTATATTTAAGATTTTGCTTATTTGGTGTGGATCTAGAATCATATTTGGGCCAGACTAGGTAAGGATTGCAGTTTTCCTCCCCTAAAGGATATGAGTGAACCAGATGGGTTTTTACAATTGATAGTGGCTATTATACAAACTAATTTTGATTCCTGAATTTTAGTTGAAGTTAAATTGCTATGGTGGCATTTGAACCGATGACCTAGAGCATGAGCCTGGGCATTACCACTACACCAATACCTTCCCTCAGTTTAAGCTATTTGCTATATGTTGCATGCTCTCCTATTCTTATTTACCCCACTGTAATGAGGAGAAGTAGACAGTTCTACACTAGATCCAGACCAGTCGTTTATACAAATTCACTGTTGAGTAGAATTTTTACTTTAAAGCTCTTGACTAGACATCCTTAGATCTCTTTACTATCATCACATATTGTGCTTGTAATAGCATTTAAACTATAGCCATCAGTGATCAGACTTCCAGTCTCTTCTGATGATTTGGATTTAATCACATGTCCCAATAGTTTAGCATATAATGTCCCACCATATCACCCAATGCCCCTCACCGTACCTTTCTGGTTTCAATCAGCTTTCCACCTGCATTGAAGTTCCCACCCTCTGTTTTGATACCTGTAGTCTTGTGAAGGATAACGGAATTATTATAGGGGGAGGATACAGAAAATAAGCAAGTAAAGTTAATTATTTTTGATGTGGAGGTGCCGGTGTTGGACTGGGTAGACAAGGTCAGACGTCACATGACACCAGGTTATATTCTAACAGGTATTTTTGAAATCACAAGCTTTCGGAGCACTGCTCCTTCATCAGGTGAAGTGAAGAGTGCAACATGAACCCAAGATCACAGTTGAGGCCTTCTTTGTGGTTATGGAACTTGGCTATCAGTTTGTTCTTGGCGATTCTGCATTGTTGGGTATCTCAAAGGCCGCCTTAGAGGATGCTTTACCCGGAGATCGGAGGCTTTTTTTTCTATTCATTTGTGGGATGTGGCCTTTGCTTGCTGGCCAGTATTTCTTGCCCATCACTAGTTGCCCTTGAGAAGGTGGTGGTGAACTGCCTTCTTGAACTGCTGCAGTCCTCCTGCTGTGGGTTGACCCACAATGCTATTAGGGAGGGAATTCCAAGATTTTGCCCCAGCGACAGTGAAGGAACAGTGATGTATTTCCAGGTCAGGATGGTGAGTGGCTTGGAGGGAAACTTAGAGGTGGTGGTGCTGCCATATTTCTGATGCCTTTGTCCTTCTAGATGGAAGTGGTCGTGGGTTAAGAAAGTGCTGTCTGAGGATCTTTAGTGAATTTCTACAGTGCATGTTGTAGATAGTACACACTGCCGCTACTGAGTGTCAGCAGTGGAGGAAGTGGATGCTTGTGGATGTAGTGCCAATCAAGCGGGCTGCTTTGTCCTGGATTGTATCAAGCTTCTTGAGTGTTGTGGAGGCTGCACTCATCCAGGCAAGTGGAGAGTATTCCATCACACTCCTGACTTGTGCCTTGTAGATGGTAGACAGGCTTTTAAGATTCAGGAGGTGAGTTACTCGCCACAGTATTCCTAGCTTCCGGCCTGCTCTTGTAGCCACTGTATTTATGTGGTGAGTCCAGTTGAGTTTCTGGTCGATAATAACACCCAGGATGTTGATAGTGGGGGATTCAGTGATGGTAACACCATTGAATATCAAGGAACGGTGGTTAGATTGCCTCTTATTCGTGATGGTCATAGCCTGGCATTTGTGTGGCGCAAATGTCACTTGCCACTTGTCAGCCCAAGCCTGGATATTGTCCAGATCATGTTGCATTTGAACATGGACTGCTTCAGTATCTGAGGAATCACGAATGGTGCTGAACATTGTGCAATCATCGGCGAACATCCCCACTTCTGACCTTATGATAGAAGGAAGGTCATTGATGAAGCAGCTGAAGGTGGTTGGGCCTAGGATACTACCTTGGGAAACTCCTGCAGAGATGTCCTGGAGCTGAAATGATTGACCTGCAGCAACCACGACAACTTCCTATGTGTCAGTATGACTCCAACCATCAGAGAGTTTTCCCCGATACCCATTAATTCCAATTTTGCCAGGGCTCCGTGATGCCACATTCGGTCGATTGCAGCCTTGATATCAAGGGCTGTCACTCTCACCTCACCTCTGGAATTCAGCTCTTTTGTCCATGTTTGAACCAAGGCTGTAATGAGGTCAGGAGCTGAGTGGCCCTGGCGGAACCCAAACTGGGCGTCACTGAACAGGTGCTGCTTGATAGCACTGTTGATGACACCTTCCATCACTTTACTGATGATCGAGAGGAGACTGATGGGACGGTAATTGGCTGGATTGGATTTGTCCTGCTTTTTATGTACAGGACATACTTGGGCAATTTTCCACATTTTCGGATAAATACCAGTGTTGTAATTGCACTGGAACAGCTTAGCTAGGGGAGCGGCAGGTTCTGGAGCACAATTCTTCAATACTATAGCTGGAATGTTGTTAGGGCCTGTAGCCTTTGCAGTATCCAGTGTCTCCAACTGTTTCTTGATATAACTTGGAGGGAATCGAATTGGCTGAAAACGAGTATCTGTAATGCTGGGGACTACTGGAGGAGGCCGAGTTGGATCATCCACTCGGCACTCTGGCTGAAGATTGCTGCGAATGCTGATGTGCTGGGCTCTTCCATCATTGAGGACAGGGATATTTGTGGAGCCTCCTCCTCCAGTGAGTTGTTTAATTGTCCACCACCATTCACGGTATGGCAGGACTGCAGAACTTAGATCTGATCCGTTGGTTGTGGAATCACTTAGCTCTGTCTATCACTTGCTGCTTTCACTGTTTGGTGTACAAGTAGTCCTGTTTGGTGACCTCACCAGGTTGAACCTCATCTTCAGATATGCCTGTGCTGCTCCTCGCATGTCCTCCTGCACTCTCCATTGAACCAGGGTTGATCCCCTGGCTTGAAGGTAATGGTTGAGTGAGGGATATGCTGGGCCATGAGGTTACAGATTGTGCTGGAGTACAATTCAGCTGCTGTTGATGGCCCACAGTCCCTCATGGATGCCCAGTCTTGAGTTGCTAGATCTGTGCGAAGTCTGTCCCATTTAGCACAGTGATAGCGCCACATAACACGATGGAAGTTATTCTCATTGTGACGGCAGGACTTCATCTCCACAAGGACTGTGCAATGGTCACTCTTACCGATAGTGTCATGGACAGATGAAACTGCAGCTGGCAGATTGGTAAGGATGAGACAACAAGGTGCAGGGCTGGATGAACACAGCAGGCCAAGCAGCA